CAGATACTAGAGAAAAAATGGGAGTTCATTGGGGCCTTACATCAATTTTTTATAGATTTCAAAAAAGACCATGATTTCTGAACCCACACTGATGATCCCCAATAATTTAATTTGCATATGGAGCTAATCTTGCCAAAAGAATGTTTGATAGAATTTTGTATGAGGTTGATAGCAGAGAAACTCCTCGGTAATTACCATACTCAGTCTTGTCCCCCTTCTTATGAATATGAATAATTTAGAACTCAACAAATGGGTTCATAAATCAGTCATACATTTCTGATAACAAAGGAGGAATGTATTAGCCAAGGTTTTGTCAGTCATTCCAAATGACTGATAATTGATGGGACGACTTTCTTATAATCTGTCTGACTCTGATCCTGATGTAGGAGGAGAAACATTTCTTTCAAAACCTAGAGTTTATTCTTGAATGCAAAAGGTTTGTCTTTTAGGTCCTGTATGCCGATGTTCAAGGTGTTTTTTTATCGTCTTAGGTCAATTTTGACCCTTCCTGACCCCCTTTCGGGGTTTTCTTGCGAAAGTACCACGGTGGTTTCTCCTTGTCTTCCGTGGCCAGTCTTTACCCACCAGACTGGAAGAGGAGACGCGGACAAACATCCATGCCTTGAGTGGGACTCGAACCCACGGTCGCAGCGGCCAGGAGCACGAGGACCATGCCTCGTGCAAGATGTTGAAGTACAGATAAATATCTGCTAAGTAAGCTAGTTGCAGCAGACATTTTGTATCTTCAAGAATCATAAAAACTGGCTTTATTATGATCTTTGAAGCAAAGCAGAAGTTCCTCTCGCAGCTCAAATAACCTTGTTTAAACTTTCCCTCTTGAAAGCCATCTGACCTCGATGTATTGAAGGAGAGCCACGTGGTAATTATGCTTATTTCCACTCAGCTTTGCAAACATGCATGACTTAAGAGGGCGCTGCTTCAAAAATATAAATAAATGTAACTTTAAATGCGAATTGACCAAAACAAAGAAGCAGCTGTTAGCACGCGGGGTTTACTCTGGTATTGCCAACTGCGGGGGAAAATATTCCGCGATATTTCGAGAAATTATTTGGAAATTTCGCGATATTTGAAATTTTCTATTTGTTTATTCCACGAGTTCTCGTGGAACCCCTGACAATGTTTTACGGAGCCCTAGGTTCAGCGAAACTCTGGTTGGGAAACACTGATCTGATGTTTCATTTCCTACATGCTGTTTTAATTATGTGTACTTACATGTCGAACAAAATCCTGGGTCCTTATTAGCGAAGAGAGCGTCCATTAAACAGCGTACAATCTACAGGGCTGGTGAATGAAGTTGGCTAACCCAACAAATCCAGCACATTAGCATTACTTCCAATTCTTTTTCGCCTTCATGGCCAGGTTCTTATGTAGGCGACCCAGGGCCATCCGGTTAAACTTCGAGGCCCCATGTAATAATTTATTTAGGGGACTCATAACCCAATCAGTTAAACTTGGTTGTTGCTACCTGTCCTCCTCCTCATCCCCTCATACTTCCTCCGGGCATTTCTTATTCCGCCCGCCCCTCCCTCGTCTTTTATTCTATCCAAATGATAACATAAGATATACCTCTAGATCAATCGCTGCTTTTCAAAAAGCCCGCCCGAGACACATGTAGCATTACGAGGGTAAAGATTTTTATTTACTAGAGCAGGGCGCTCCTTTCGGAGCTC